AGAATGGAGTGTATTGAAAATCTGAAATAGCACAAAGTTTCCTGTGAGGGGTAGGTTTAGGGGTAGGGTTGGTGTAGGGCAATAGCACATACAGTTTGTACAGTATAAAAACCATTACGCCTATGGGATGTCCCCACTTCACAAAAACAAACCTGTGTGTGTGTGAATTGGGTTTGTTGTACCTGTTCTTCTCCTAGTGTCTGCTAATCAAAAACTCACAGTGATTTTCAGCTGGGCGACAGGACAGTGCCATCAAATGACTAGTATCTGTCACCATCTGAAGATCACAACGCATTGAGCTGGAAGCTGTTCTATTACGTATTAAATAGCAGCCATTTTTACTTTTCCAGTTATTAAAAAGTTCAAAGCTGAAGGACTATTTTGTATTGGCACTGATTTAACAGCTTCTCATTGGATTCAGTGGCTTTCTCCACATTTAAAACATCACAGGAGCCATAGACTGCAAATCGTGTCTAGTTGAACTCTTATCGTTGGTGATTTGTGATGGCCACAGTGACTCAGAGACTCGTGTTGCAGTGTTTAGGTCTTGTCTAGTTAGTTCTCACCTTAGAGCTTGCTTTGTGTCTCAGCTTTCCTCTGTGGACACTTGCCATCCTGTGGAAGTACTACTATAAGCACTGATCGATCGACCAGCATTGGCCTGGATCTGGTGCTTGACGATCGGCCGATCCTGCACAGATTCAAGGCCAGTCTCTTTGTAAAGACAGTACACGCTGTACAGCGTTCAGGTTCAGTTGAGAGGATCTACAGATCGGGCGTTGAGGCCATTAGCACATTTGACAGTGAAGCACTCTGCAGGAGTTGGGCTGCAGTTGTAAATTTACTATATTTAATAACAGTAACATTTTTTTTTTATACGGTGAATGTAAATATTCTGTTCATGCGACTGAGTGACAGTTAAATAAATATAATTATAAGATATCACTAAATTGTGAAAAGCCTTTTATAATTTGACGTTATGTCAGATAAGGAATATGTGCAGAATGTGTAGCGCTGAGTTTCACTACTTTAAATCATTGGTATTGTGCATAACTCAACCCATGATCAGCCCCCATTCAGGACATGTTTATCAAACAGATTCCAGCATAGTTGACACGTTTCCGTTTGTTGCCTAAAGGACATCATAAACTCATGTGTTTTGAAGCCTATCTGCTAATCGACACCGATAATGCTTCTTTATGACAGCGGTTACTTAACCACGGCCACTGCTTCATCTGTGTGTGTCAAACTCTCTCGCTGACGGACTGCTCGTCTTAGTTTATCATCATGCAAAGATCATAAAGCACAAGCTTTTCTACCAGCTTATGTTGAAACACTGAACGTAACGGTAGGATACGAGAAAATGAAAAACACAGGTGTCCACACGTCATAAACATTGACATTAACAAATGTGTTATGGATACATTTAAATGCAGTTTAAAATGAACTAAGGTCAGTGTCATAAAGAAAAGCAGGCTTGTATGCATTGGACAGTGCAGCTCTCAGCGCAGCGACTGGATTAGCTGTTAGTCTGCCGTGAGCTTGTGCTTCTGACGCCGCTGTCTGTAGTTTTCAGATGTCTGAGGACGTCTATGAGAAGTTCCTGGCTCCAGAAGAGCCGTGTCCGCTGCTGTCTCGGAGAGGGAACCTCAGTGAAGATGCTACGCTGGACGTCAGTGACTTCGGCTGTCAGCTGTCCTCGTGTCACCGCACAGATCCGCTCCACCGCTTCCACAGCAGCAGGTCAGTGTTAGCCATGTTCAGAACAATACACACTCCAACTCATGGACTTGATCAGCTCATCCAATCTTATCCAAGATAAAACAATGTTTTCAGAGATGAAGGCATGATGTTTTTCTTTCGTTTTGTTGTAAATGAATCGCATAATGCTAAACCGTCTGTAATATAAACCACAGACAGTGGCTATGAGGAGCTACTGGAGCGGCTCACTCCAGCGGCTGATGCTGAGAAGGGCTCACTGGACTGTAAGGACACAGTCTTCTGATAGAGAAGCACTCATGGTGCTGCTGTGCCTCCAGGAACAGGGTTGGTTTTTAGCGTCACTTTAGGACACTTTAGATCAGGATTCCTCAAAGATCCACTGCCCTCCAGATTTCAGCTCCGGTCCTGAAAGATGTGTGTGCAAGCTAATCAAGCTCTTCAGGATCACTAGATAATTACAGGTAGATGAGTTTGATCAGGTTCAACTCGTGCACTGTATTCTGAAGTCTTCTGAAGCCATACAGGGTCAGGGTCATTTAGAGATGCTCCACACAAACCGTTGGAAACATCTTCCATATTTAAATGGATTTCCAGTTCTTCCAACCTGAGAAATATGACCCATGTGCTGTCAGTCGATTAAAAAAATAATGAATTAATCTCAAGATTAAATGCACCTAACATTAAACTTTGTAATTATACATATGTTTTTAAAATATAGCCTGTATATATACATACGTGTGTGTTTACATTTAATAGTCCTAAACTGTTACAGAACATTAAAAATGTTCTAACTTTTGATTTAACTGTGGTGTTGATAGACTCTCATGATCGTGCAATCGTGCACAGAACACAGACAGACAAGGTCAAGATTTTCGGTATCCCCAAACCCTGTGCATCTGTTTGTTTTTTTTAGTTTGATGCTGGTCGTGATTCACTGTTATTATGTGGTTGAGCACGAGGAGGTCATTTAAAGTCTGTGTAAAGGCAATTCAGAGAATTGTTTCTAAACGCATTATAAATGTTAGAAATGTAATGCTGAAAACACGTTACAAAGACTGTGAACTATATAGTAATGAAATATGGAGTTAGACAGTTTTTCACCATTTTTGTGTTGAGTATTTTGTGGGCGGGGCTGAAATCACATCTCGATGATGCACTGGAGTCACTGAGCACGGCCCCTCCTCTAACACTATAATAACTACAGCACATCAGCATCAGTGCTTCTCCCGCTCAATCACCAGTTACTTACTACAGCCTACAGTTTGCTAGCTAGCTATGCCTTCATCACGTAAATGAATATTACCAAACAAGTATGTCTGTGTAGATCCAGTCAAGCTGCTAGCGGGAGCATCAGTTCAGGTTGTAGTGTATTTGACAGCTTTCCCGCGAGTGGGTGTGGCTTCAGCGCCGGCAGCAGACACGCCCCCAGCATTTCAGAGCAGAGAATACTGCTTATTTGTTTTCAAGATTTTTTTCTTTTTTTCCCCATTCAAATTTGGCTGGGTGGTTAATAACACATTTTTCTATGGTTTGACAAACTCACTACACATTTAATATTGCTTTACACAGACTTTAAAAGAAATCTCCTTTTGTGGTCCAAAATAGAAAGAAGGGTTTACAACAGGAGAACAACACTGTAAATGGATTGATTTTCATGTTTGGGTGAACTAACAGTTTAATCGTGCTGCTGATGAGTCTGTAGTGTCTCCTGCCTCTCAGAGCCAAAACAAGAGCTTGGTCAAGCTGCCTTTGTCTCTCTGGGATATACACTTTTTAGGGGTTCAAGCGCAAAGTGCTGAAAACCTGTTGTATTTGTAAGGATTTTTAGGGTCCTTCTTCTTCTTCTGCTCTAGAGCCCTATGGCAGCCCATAGAACCGCTTGCGGGAAAGTTGTGAAATTTGGCACACAGATAGAGGACAGTCTCAACATTAACCACAGCGAGTTTGGAGTCTCTAACTCTATAGTGTCAGCAACAGCTCAAAGTTTCACTCATGTTATGCTAATAACTTTTAAACCATAAGTTTTAGAAGCAAAATTCTTTTTTTCCTCTGATTCCTTGGCTCATGCCGAGTCAAATGGACACCAAAATGTAAAATTATTTTTTACATAGTTTTTAATTATTCGAAAAACCTACTTTTTCAAACTCGTCCTAGATGGTTTGTCTGATTTTCACCAAAATTGGCTCAGATCATCTTCAGACCATTTCCTCTGTAAATGTGTCAAATTCATTTCCATTTTGCATGAAAATACTTGACTTTACAGACGTCTCTGACTGGGTGAGAAGATACCAGTCAAACGGACTGAGAGCAACAGAAAGGCTGTGCAACTAATCTGACTAAAATAATGAACACTCGCTGTTGGATGTTAAAGGGATGGTTCACCCTCAAAAAAACTAAAATCATGAAATTAAGACTTTACTCACCTTGGTGTTGTTGTAAAGTTCTCTGACCTTCTTTTTGCAAGACAAAATGAGAAATGTACAAGTATCATGCTTGAGCTTGTTTATATAGTGACCAGCTTCAAGCCATAAAAGTATCATAAAATGATCCATACAACTCCTTCCATATATTCATATGATGGTGTTAAGAGAAAACAACCTGAAATATCATGTATTGTAATTTATCAGAAATCTGCAGCAGTTGTTTGCTCTCCTGTGCGCATGCATGAGTGCAGCGGTTCACGTCTGCACATTCAGGAAAAGCACACAAGCGCTGTTTTGAGAAATCAAGATTAATAAACGCGTAACACTAACTCCTGTAAACCACAAAAAAGATGCATGTGCTGAGGTCAGTAATCTTTGGTTTCAGCTAGTGATGGGAAAAACAAACCTTTTTGAAGCTTCAAATCAATTGAAGCAACTGCTTCGCAAAATGATTCACAGTTTCGAAGCGTTCAAAACGCACGCCGCTGGTCAAACTGTGTAAATGCAACAAAAACTCATGTCAAAACATCCATTAAAAACAGTGTTTGCAAACTCAATTTATAATATATTGAATGCAAATAAAATAATAAAATACCGTTAAATGTGATGTGTCTGTATAATGTTTTTTTTTTTTTTTTTTGCATTTGCGTTACTGAATGTGATATCCTGTTAGCAATAACATGTCCGTGGGCTCTTTTGATTACTGTCAGTTTAAGTTCTGGTGATCATTGCAGTGTTGCTAGATATTGCTATGAAATCAAATGCCGTCTTTTTCTATTGCAAAATAGAGAATTGTTTTTTTTTTTTTTTTTTTTTTATAATTATTATTAATTTGCAGGGCTTGTTTTGTCTGTTTTATGGAGAGCTTGTCTAAACAGGCCAGTAAGAGTCTATTAACTACTACTCAACCTTTTAATTACACAAATGTCTCATTAAAATTGATAAAGCTGATCCGAGATCAGGCAGAAACCGTAGACGCTGGTTCACAGGTTCTCAGAGATCACCGCCCCCTAAATGTTTGGAAGCTTCACAGAGCAGCGTCCGTCCCTGAAGAGGGTTAGACTGCGCGGACCGCTGTAACTGGCCGTGATGCACCGTTAGCTGTGCACTTTAACAGTCAGTGATGGTGTGTGTGTGCAGTCAGGGGTCACTGTGGTCAGTTAGTGATGGTGTGTTTGTGCAGGTGGCACCTGACCTCCTGCGGCACCAGCGTGGATGGGAGAAACGAACCTTTTCGAAGCTTCGAATCAATTGAACCAATTGCTTTGCAAAATGATTCACTGTTTCGTGCTCGGAACACCACACACTGGTGACATCTGCTGGTCAAAACTGTGTAAATGCAACAAAAACTCAGGCCAAAACATACATACATAACATTTTACAAAAACATTTTCCAAACCCATTGCAAATGTTTTACTGAAAGTATAATACATTAAATGCAATTACAATAATAAAATACCATTAAATATGTGTCTGTATAATATGTTTGTTAATTATTATTATTAATTTGCAGGGCTTGTTTTGTCTGTTTTATGGAGAGCTTGTCTAAACAGGCCAGTAAAAGATGTTAACTACTACTCATCCTTTTAATTACACAAATGTTTCGTTAAAATGTCTACAAATTGATAAAACTGATCCGAGATCCGGTAGAAGCCATA